ATTCTGTGGGCTGTCTCCCTGCTCTCTTGATGGTTTCTTTTGCCTTGCAGAAGCTCGTTAATTTGATGAGGTCCCAGTGTGGAGATTTCTGAAAGAACTAGAAATTGACCTTCCATATGACCCAGCAATTCCCCTGTTGGGAATATAAAATACCCAGAGGAACTCAAATTATTCTACAAAAAAGATACCTACACATGTATGTTTATTGCAGCTCTATTCACAATAGCAAAAACATGGAACCAACTGGGTTGCCCACCAAAGCTGGACTGGATTTAAAAAATGTGGTACATATACACGATGGAATATTTTGCAGCCATAAAGAAGGACAAATATATGGATTTGCAGCAACTTGGATGGATTTGGAGTCGATCATACTTGGTGACATATCACAGAAACAAAGAACAGAGTTCCCTATGTTCTCACTCATAAACAGATCTTGAACAATTATAATGCTATAAGAAAGCAATTGGCATTAGTGGGAAACTGTTAGGGGAGCGGGGTGGGATTGGCAGTTGAGGAAGACTGCTGGGGAGGGAGGGGCAAACCTCACCAACAAGGGTACCTGCATGATCAATGTTTGTATACCTAACCCTGAATTGTACCCCACATCCTTATAATAAAAATTAAAACAAAACAAAACTATCAGTAATTTCAAAATGAAAAAAAAACCCACAAGCTTAAGAGGGGATCATAGAGCCCCACATGACAGAATCAAAGAGCATCAAAGGCAGGAAGGACAACAGAGCTGGGAGGGATTTGAGCCTGGGACTCAGGGTCAGGATGTCACAGCTCTCTGCTTTTCTTTCCTCCTTTGCATACCTACGCTCCTTGCCATCTCTCTACCAGCTCCTTCTTGGTCTCTCCTCTATGACCCCATTCATGTATCCATCCATCAATCCATCCATCCATCCATCCATCCGTCCATCCATCCATCCATCCACTCCACCCTGCCCCAATGCACCTGCATTGGGGTAGACACCAAGCAAAGCGATGGGGGAGGGGAGAGGAGAGTCAACAGAAACATGCAGGCAGAGGAACAGCCCTGTGGAGACACACATGTGTGTCGGGTCAGCTCTGCCCAGGATGGGGGCTGGAGTCCTGGAGGGACTGAGGAGGACTCACAGGAGGTGGGAGCAAAAGCAGGGTGGAGCAGACTGGGGGTGGTTCTGTAGACTGAGGAGGGTGAGTTTATGAGCAAAGGGGGTGATGGAATTAAGGATGCTTTCCCTGGGCAACCTGGAAGCCAGCCTGGATCAGGACACAGATGCTTTCCCATCATGACATCCATGTGGACTTCTTTCCACTTTCCTGTGTGCATCTAACAGTGGGGCTTCACCCTCAAGAAGG